ATTTTCAGTGGTACAGGAGTAGCAGATACTTGTACACGAGCCTAGAGTGCCCTCTTGTGGATGTCAGTGTGAAAGTAACGAACGTGTACATTTTCAGTGGTACAGGAGTAGCAGATACTTGTACACAAGCCTAGAGTGCCCTCTTGTGGATGTCAGTGTTAAAATAACAAACAAGTGAAATGATATATTTGAATATATTAGTCGCATCCGTGTATAAGTCGCAAACCCAGCCAAAGGATGAAAAAAATGTGCCACTTATAGTGGAAATTACGGTGTATAAATATATATGAAGTGTATCCCACCCTGAACTTTTTTTCGTAAAGGGCATCAGAGTTAGCCTTTCTTCAAGGAGTATTAGGTACACTTAGGTGCCAAGTACTTCAAGGTTTAAGACTTTCGAAGGTCCTAGAGTTGGTATGTTTAAACTCCGGGCCTGGGGGCCAATTGCCAGATGCCTGAGAATAAACCTTTCTAGTGTCTTCATGAAGTCAAAGGTTAGAGCCACCAGTCTGTAGTCATTCGTCTTGGCTGGGTGCCATACTTTGGCAAAACCGGCAAAACACAGGATGTGTCCTACAGAACAGGGACTGTCCCTCCTATTGAAGACACATCGAAAAGACTCCTGTTTTGTAAAAGTTCTTAAGGAGTCGGGATGAACAGTCGGGCGAAGACATTAGTCCAGTGCAATAATTTGCTGGGGTGTTTATGAAGCTTGATCGTAAATGTGGTCAGGCTAGTGACGGAACATTGCAGTATGAGTATGCGAAATATATCAAATATATATATATATATAACTTACTTACGGTATATACTTACTATATATAACTGGGACTGTTGCCATGGTGAGACGAGGTTAATACAGAAGCACACAAAGCACTTAACTTAAATACTATCACTGCACCTAAATAGATTTTTCAGGTAGCTGTCATTTACTTGAATCAATATTTTACTTTTACCATCTACATTTGAACACCAATATCTGTACTAGCTACTTCTTACGTCGCCAAAAACGCATCACTCCCTCGGATTCGAAATACTATTGAGATGATGATTGAGATTGCCATATTCCATTGGAAGCCTTTCACACCCAACCACCCGCCCCCCTAGCTGAATTAATAGTTAATACAAATTGAATTTAGTTTTAATTGGGGGATGTCCAATAATATCGAATCACTATCGGTTTTACCTCCAATAATGCAAACCCGATAACGCAATTCCTGGGTTTTGCCAAATATGCCGGAATCACTTTTATCTAATTTTTTCCTGGTAAACGAATGCATATATCGGTATCGGTTTATATCGGAATCGGGAATTAAGTGTTTGGACAACATCGGCAAAAAGTTAATATCGGACATCCCTAGTTTTAATCGATCAGGGGCGCTGCCAGGAATTATGGGCCCCATAGGAGAGTATGACCATGGGGCCCCATGTCACACACCAGAATTCACTATTGAACCTAATATTATAAATCAATTTCTTTTTTTGAACCCTCCCGTCGTCCACATTTTGTACACACCCAGCGTCCTCGCAACAGGTTTGCATCTTGTCCCAGAATCAGAGTAAAAGGAAAAGTTGGCGCAAGTAGTGCAGTACAGGAGCACACGCACACACACAAAAAGGCATATTATCAACCACCGGGTCACCTAGACCCCAAAGGAAAACATGAGGGTTAGGTTTTTTTTTTAAAAAAGTCATGCAACCCCTCCCAGCCCAACCGGGCCAGATGAATTACATTACATTGCGTTATGTAGGTTAGGTTTTTCCTTTTTCTTGTCAATAAATTGTGTATTTGTTTCGACTCCTCTCCACCTGGAATATTTGGAACAAACTGGTATCGGTGTGGAGTTCAAACGGCTCGAGATGATAGCGGTCCTTCAAATTTTAGTGCACTGTTTGGAAACCCGATCTGGGCTGCCGACCCCAGCAGGAACAGTTTAAATCTCTCTTTGGTAGAGCAAGAGTAAACAAACTTTAGTTTGTTCTCTGATATTAAGAGGTTAGGATGAGCAGCTGTCCTCAGTCTCAGACAGACCATGTCATTTGTCTTACATCGGTATCCATTAATCACCACGCCGGAGTCGACGTGTCTGACACCTCAACGCTCTCGCTTTTCCTGCCGACGTCTCATACTTTTACTGCTGCAGGAAGAAAAAAAAAAAAAATCAGCTGAACTCACAGGCACCTGAAGGAAAACATGACAAAGATTCTTAGAAGAAAAAAAAAACAAAAC